ACCTACCAAAGGTTCTTCTGATTTCTCAGTAGCCGGGAAGTCTGGGACAGGCGACTTGAATTCAGGGACTGGCTTCCCTGCAATAAGGGAGGAAGAAAGAAAGTTAGCATCATCCCACCAAGTCGGGGAGTCCTGGGGAGCTGGGTCCTGGTCCCGGCGGGGTCTCCCCCTCCTCCCCCTCCCCTGCTATAAAACGAGGCAGTTCGTGGAGTGACAGGCAGGGAGGTCAGTTGAGTCCCGCTGCCCCGAGCCAGACGTGCCTGCTTCTTGCCCTCCGGCTGCGTGGCTTCGACGCGTAGCTGTTCCCTGAGCCGCTCTCCTCGCCTCTAGAGTGCAGGCTGCAGTACTGTCCACATCTGCCAGCCCCCTCCCGGGGCAGCGGGAAGGGGCCACATGAGGACACACCTGGACGAGCTCCCCAGACCACCCATTCTCCAAGCACCGGAGGAAGTTAAAGATGCCCCCACACACCCACCTGGCCCCTCGCCCAGCCCCTGAGTCAACAAGGGCTGGCGTCCAGCGCGCGGCTGGGTCAGCCTGGCCAGCTCTGCATAATCAGATCCTCCCAAGGTCCTTGCATTCCACCCCTGGAGGGGAGGAACCTGAGGGCAGGTCGGGACTTGCCCAGGACCAGCCCCGGGCAGGCAGAACTGGCCCAGGACCCGTCACCTGCCTCTGAAGAGGGATCGCTTCCCCTCTGCCTCCACCCAGGGCGTGGGGAGGTGTGTCCCACGGAGCCTCAGGGGATCTCCTGACACAGCTTCCCCTTCCTTCCACCCTCCAGGTCCTCTCCAGGCTGCGGTGTAAAACTCCCGACTCCTCTGGCCACTCCCCTGCCCAAAGCCTGCCAGCCACTGAGTGCTCGGTGGGTGCTGCCGGTGTCCTCCTGCAGAAAGCCTGAGGCCTCCCCTAGGCACCCCCAGATCACACCTGAACCCTGCAGCCCTGGCTTTGAGGCCTTGCACCCTCTGGTGGTCGGGGCTGGGGGGCCCACATTCGAAAAGCCCAACAAGGGGACTCTGAGTGGCAGAAGCCTGGCTGGCTCCTTCTCCCACCGCTCGTGGGAGGCCGCAAAGAATTCACTGCAACAGGTAAAGGAATGGGTGGAAAGCCCAACCCCGCCACGCCCAGCGTCCTTTGGGACTAGAAGGACACCACTCCAGCCCAGCCCAGCCCAGCCCAGCCCAGCCCAGCGTGACTCGGGTCCCCGCAAAGGGCCAGAGGGTGGATGGGCCTGTCCCCGGCGTCACAGCTGGCAAGATTCAGACCGGAGCTGTCCTTCCCCGAGCGCCTCAGACGCCACCGTCCTCAGGGGCTGGCCCCGGCCTGACCCCCACCCAGGCCTCCTGGTGACGGCCCCCCCAACACACACAGCCATTTCCGACAGAGGCCAGGCTCCGGTTACCTCGGTTACACCAGCTTCCGGCCGGCCCAGGCTGTACCCCCAACCACGCCTGGGGCCCCAGAAGTCCTTTCCCAGACCAGCTGCCCAGCTGGTTTCCTCACCAGTGAAATGGGGGGTGGGGCGGGCAGGTCACACGTGGCCCCAGGCGGAATCAGCCTTTTGTGGGCGTTTGAGGCAGGACCGTCCAGGCCACCGTGGCTGAGCTCCGTGGCCTCCACCGTGGGACACACAGAGGCTTCCCGAGGTCTCACCCCGCGAGAGCCCAGCTGCCCGTCTGTCCCTCGCTCTCCCCGCCGTGTCCTGACCCGACACGCTGGCCTGCAGC